GTGTGTGTGTGTGTGTGTGTGTGTGTGTGTGTGGTGGGACATTGCGGATATACAGTCACACCCATGTGTTGGTTTGGCAGCAGAATTACTTGCTTTCATGAAATACCAAACATTACTGGATCCTTTTTTATTGGGTGAAAATAGACCGGCTCACTAACATATCTACTGTAAAGCGAAATCATTCTCCAACACATCGATTTAGTTTTCATCTGCAATGATTTGTGTATTAATTAGAAAACTGGGAGGAATGAGAAGTTGGAAGAGAAAGTGGATGTTTCACTGCTGGCTTTAGGAAGAAGGTTCTGCTACTGCTCATGTACTTATCAGCTCAACATCAACATTGGCCAAGCCAAACAGGAAGCATTGTCATAGCAACTGCCTCAAATAGGTAAGAAAGATAATGCATCTAATTAAGGGCCTAAGATTTGTGCCGAGTCTAATGCATGGTCACAATCTAGTTTGTCTCCGCTGGCTTTGCACTGAATGTCTTCCTGTAATTTCTAGGTCAGACATGTCACAGGCAAACTAGACCTGACACAAAGTGTATTCTATAGTCGTGTTTATCAGACTGAGCGGAAGAGACGGTTGATGCCAGGCAGAACTAGCGTCTCCTCCCAAACAATGAGTTTCCAAAACCCACGTGGGAGGAGAAAGAGTGGAATGCCTCATTTTACCACAACTTCCTTGTTACAACCACACAGCTCATCTTAAAGGTCCTTTGACATTTTAATCTCAAAATAATTAGGTAAGTGATACTATTCTGCAGGATGTTTTGTAAACACAAAAAAGAGAGTTTCTTTGTCCTGGTTGTTGAGGAGGCCTCCATTTGCTGTCAGTGCAGGGCTGTTCATATTCCACTGCCATTGGCTCGAGAGGAGGAAGCAGATAAGATAGGTGTGTTTAGAGTGTAAACTAAATCCAAGGTTATAGTCCTCACAGACACTGCTCCAAGGTTAGATTTAAAACTGTCCCTCACATCGTCAAGGTTGGTGAATGAGCCTAGAAGTTCACTGTTCATCAGTACTCTTGCAGAACTTCATAGGGAAAAGTAAAGGGACTGTTTTTGGCACATAATAAGACTGGACATGCATAAGATTGGAATCAGGCTGATCGAACAAGTGAAGCAGAAGACAAACAGGAATCAATGATAACTTAATAAGGGTATAGTCACTTATTGACCTGAAATGATGATTTGGATTCTCAGTTACTTCTCCTAGACATGAAAA